GCCCTGCCGTGGATCCGGGTCCCCCGCCAGCCACAGTCACTCGACGGGGGTTTCAGCATTCCAGGGCACCGTATTTCCAGCCAGAGATGACACCCAAAGACATCCTCACAAAAAGGTAGAACTTTTTATTCTTAACGAGACATAGCATGAAGGCCCCACGATGTTATCTCCAGAGTATAAAAACTCGGGGGGAAAAAAAAAAAAAAAAAGTGTTTGCATGTATCCAGATACAAGTGGAAACAAAACCAACCTGCCAAACTTTTCAAAATTTGTGGTGGTGTCCTCTAGTCAGGCAAAAACATCTGTGCACATTGGCGCCCATGCAGCCCCCCTTCCCTGCTCCCCAGCAAGAGTTTGTCCCCAAAGCGCCCCAAAACCCACAGGGACCAGACAAGGGTGTCCACCAAAACCCCCCGAACGCTCCTCACTTCAGACAGGAAAGAATCCCGGGATATCCAGGAATCACCCGTGCAGTTTTTCCCCGTCATTGCATACAGGAACATCAGCTTCAGGAGAAACACGGACAGGCTGCAGAGGTGCATCACAGGCAAACGGACTAAGAAACAGCCTCAACTTCATGGACCATAATTGAAATAAGAACAGGAAAACAACACAAGGATCTCCATTTGCTTAAGTGCCAGATTTCATACAGTAAGGGTTTTTTTCTTTTTTTTGTAAAACCTTGCATATTCACATAAACCAATAAAATACCAATATAAACAGAACAAGAAGGGATAGGTGGTGGCTGCCACCTGCATATTTGCACTTGAGTATCTACATAAAGCATCAGATCCCAGGAGTTACAGATTTGTTTTACCAGCTCATACCATCACCACAAAGTTATCTCAGAATTATTTTTGACAGTGTACAACATGTTTCAGAGATGGAAGCCTTAGAAAAACAAAACTCTCCCTTTATTTATATTGCACTTTTTCACAAATAGCTACAAGGCAGACTTTGCTGCTGCTGCAAAATGCTACATCAGAAAATGCAGCTTAGAGCACATTAGAAAGAAATGGTCTTGAGTTTCAGGAATCAGCTCGAGTCGTCCCCAAATTACCAACACTAGTTTTACAAATCACCGTATTCCTAAGTATTGCCTCAATTTTATTCAATATTTAGGTATTTCAAAAAGAAAAAGAAAAAAAGCATTTTTATCAAATGAATGAGATTCTCTAATCACTACAGGATACTAAAATTGAGTCTGAAGGGCAAACATTTTCAAGAGGTCTTCAAAGCACCAAATATTCTAAAGAGCTATTAACAAAAACCCCACACTTTGTGGGAAGAAATTGGTTTCTCTAACACCAGATTTCTAGAACTACCCAGGACTGTTTTGGAAAGAATTTCCCAGTTGTGTGATGTATTTACATGAACCTTATAAACGTGCAATGGAAATCAAAACATTTCTAAGGATACCAGCAATAGTGCCCCTAACCCTAGTTCTGCATCCAAAGCATGTCAGTTCTAGTGCAAGTAAAACACCTGGAAATGCAGCACACCCGAACAGCAAAACAACAACCTGCTCTGTCCAGCGCGGCTGTCGCAGCTAACGCACAGCCCTCCCCAAACACCCTGCGAGGAACCAAAACCAACCCCTTCACTTTCATTTAATAACAGGGTCATTATACACGATTGTCTAGATATGCCCTTTTTATTCCAGTGTTTCCATACTTTCTACAGACCTATGTACATTGTTAAATACGTCATTAATTTACAAACCATGTTAAAACAAATGTTTCACTTTGCCAAACAAGATCTTGCAGCTCTCCAAGATCAATATATATATTACAAGAATATCAGAAACTTTCTTTACCTGAATGTGGGCAATATTGCTAAAGGACATTTATTCAGGTATTCAGCAAAACCACCCAATGTAGCTGATAATTCTATACTCTATTGTACAAAATTATCCTCTTTGATCACAGACCTGACCTAGGAGAGCACGAATGCTGTCAGGCAGCGTCTGGGGAAGAAGCTCAGGCCTCACTTTCTGGGTCCTAAACGGAATATCCTATTTTGTGCCTTTTACTCCGTGCTACAGACACAAGCCAAATGCCAGCGTGCCACACGTGTATTTAACCAAGCCCCTGCTCTGCGAGGAAGGTGTGTGGAGCTTTATTTGTCTTCCAGGGAAGAGTTCAGGCTGTGTGCACTCACGGTACCGTGGTGCACGCACCAGAAGACGCTCAGAGGAAGGCAGAGGTCTTCTGCACATCCCCGGGGTCCCTGCTGCTACTGTTTACTGGTATTTCTCACACTCTTTGAGGTAGAGGAGGATCACCTGTCATTTCCCAAATGGAAACCAAGCACAAAGAACAAGATGAAGCCTTTGCAGGAGTGTAACAGCTTACAGCTAGCTCCCTCTAAAAGCACTTGGACACCTTATTTCATCCCCTCTTAAGAACATCAACCTAAATGTCTCATCCTAAACTCAACAGCCTTTACAGAGCCAGAACCTAGATCAAATCCAGAGTCCGCAAGATACTTTTCACACTTATGCAATAGCGCTTAAATATTGGGAAGCAAGCCTTAGAAATACAAATTTTGCACTTTTCCACATTAAAAGAAATACATAAATTAATACTGGGATAGGCAAAAGTAATTTCACATGAGCAAATTCTTTTCCTCACAATCTTGATAATCAGGTTTGGGAATAATTTTCAGATTTTCTAAACTAAAAGCCCAAGTTCTATGCCAGCATGAACAGTTTCAACCCCAGCAAAGTCAAGAAAGTTCCATTCACAAACATTAGCAGCATATTTAAACCATCTCTAAAGTTTCAGAAAGACTGTTTCCTCCTTTGGAGTGTTTTGTGGAAGGCAGTCTACATTACTACCTCCACAGACAACCAAAAGAATGAGATCAGGTTGACTTTGCACTTAAAAATAAATTATTTAGCATGCAGAAAATAGTCAAATCATCATTTCGCTTCAAGGAAACAGTCATTTTTTTAAAGCATTATGTATGTAGAGGGAGTTTTTTGTACAGCACCATGTTCTAAATTTTATCTGCAGTATCTAATACCTCTCTAGTAAAAACTTAATACCTATGCTATCAAAATCTTACTATACAATAGCTTTTCTGTTAAGGAAAGAAGGCCCCTACAATCTTCTTTGCTAAAGAAGTAATAATAATCTGGTTCAGCAAAAGCAAAGTTCAAATGTTTTCATTCCTTTCATGCACAAGTCCAGTATCTGACACACAACCGTTAACTTGTCTTGAATTAAGTACCTTCATTTATGCTAATTGAATCAGTACTGACTCATTACCCATTAATTATATATTTACTGCTGTTGCAAAATATTTTCTCTTAATAATTTACTACTCAGTCTAGGGGAGTGGCAGTAAGAGAGAAGGATATAAAATTTAATTTCTTTTAGCTTGAAGTAGGAGTCAGGCCAAATGCACATAGCAGCTCCAATAGCACTGATTGAGAGTTATAAAAACAATCAGAGGTTAAAAAGATAGCCTTAATAAACAATTAAGATGATTATTCAAATCCATGCATTCATAAAATATGAATGAAATAAAGGAACATAATTTGTACATAAAATTGAGAAGAAAACACCTTAAAACTTTGAATTTTTAAGCCAACACAAGACGTTTGTAAGAACAAGTGTGAAAAAAAATCATATTGTTCCAAACATTTTATTTGTAAAGGTGTTTTCTGTATTGCCAGGGAAGAGCAATGTCTGAAGTTACAGGACAACATTATTCAGAAAACAAGGATGATCTTAAGCTCTGTACATTATTCAGAAAACAACTGGGACAACAGTGATTTTAGAAGGAAAAATGGTTCTCTATGCCTGAAAAAATACTATAGAATGGATCTTCCTACTGACTACCCTTTCAAAAAGGCTCCTGGTTTGTCATCAAAACCTGAAGGCATAGTCACAGAGGCAATTAATACCCACAAGAAGTTTTGTATTTGCTCAAGACGAATTAAGTCTACCTGCCTGCAACTGATGCACGTAAGTCATTTCTCCTCCAGCCGGCAGCTCCTGATACCCAGGAGTGCACACAGTTTCACTTTCTCTGAAAATTTCATCTAAATATCATTAAAATACATATTAGAGAACAAATTAAGGGTGATGTTGGTAGCATGGAAGCAAAGTACTGGCCACAGTTTAGCTGCCAAAAGAATAATCAGTTGACAGACTCCGAAAAGGAGCAGTGAAGATAATTTACACCGATGTTTTGTACCTGCGTTTTGTCACAATCTCCATACAAGAGCTACACTGTGCATTTAGTTCCAGTCTCAGATCTAAGTGTTTCATGTTTAAAGATCTGCTTAGCAGAAGTCAAAAGGTCTGTACCACTTCCACTGCACGTGCATCTTCCCTTCCGCAAAACCTGTACAATAAAATGGCTTTACATTCATGGGTGTACTAAAAGTTTCTGATAATGTTGGGGACACTCTGATATCACAGTCTATACCTGTTTGCCAGGATTCTATATATCAAAACGATTTAGGTTGTAGGTAGTCGGATAGTTTTGCCGATTATACTGGAAATGGTCTGTTAAAACATTGGCTCGACCATACTGATAGTCTCCATGTTGTGCAAATGCTGTAAGTCCATTCTGAGACTTTTCAGGAGTGTTTCGATGCCGGTCCAAATTCACAAGGTCTCCAGTTGTAACTGGAAGTAGCTGCTTCTTTGCCTCTTGATTTGCATCATATTTTGTCTGGGAAAGAAAGAAATAAAGTTTTTCTTGGATTATCAAGTAGCACATTCATATATGTAGAAAGAAAACACACTTAGAAGTATACTCCAACCTTGTTAGAATCTTAAAGTATTTCTCATTCACAATAAAAATCTCATTCCTCCCTCTGATATGCCAAATCATAAGTCTCTGTTTAGCTCAAATGATTTGAGGATTTACTTCCCAGTCTTAATTTCTCAACAAAATATTAAAATCAAAATATAAGTTCACTAGAGATCTAACAACTGGCCTGACCTGAGCACTGAGCTGAGGTCATAACATATATCCTCCTCTGCAAAGAATTTTTATGCTACGTATTATCCATTTTTATTCTGCTAATTGTCAACTTGTTTTGCAAAAAATAATGCAAAGCTACTAGACATGAGCAGTGCATAAAATCTATTGTTCCTGGGTGGGTTTCCTGAAAAACAAAACAAAACCAAACACCCAATTCATCACTTACCTTGTTATATAAGAACACCCCTAAAATAGCTGTCATCATTCCAAGGACATTGGTGCTGGTAACAGGATTTCGAAGCATTATAAGGGAAACTGTGATGACCATGATCCTTTTTGTGGCGTTTGCAACGGAGTAACTTAACGGGCTGATCAGATTAAGAATACTGAAGGCAATGACATTCTGGGCAAAATTACAGAATCCACTGATTATAAGCAGCATTAAGGTCCAGGGCCAGTGAGACATTGTGCTCTGTTACAAAGACAAACATTACATGAAAAAAGTTTATCTCAGGTTTCAGATAACAGACCAGGAAGCTTTCATACAGAAACATGAATCTAACATGAGTCACTTCTTACCTGCTTTTTGATAGGAAGAGCATCTGCAATTTGTCTTGAGTCAACAGGCTTAGTGTTATACCTTGTGCAACTACTGCTTATGAGAAAACACCTCTCTACACACTTGTACCGTGCATTCCAGCATGCTACAAGTTATTCCAGATAATTTGGAATAACCTTTCAGAGCTCCTGCCTCCAGTGCTCATTTCTGGGACTTGTGCTATCGCTTAAGCTAAGTCTTCTAATTCTGCTGTGAAGTCTTACGATAAACTCTATGCTATCTTTTATATCATTTTGTGAAACAGCTTTTAGATGTTGCACAACAGTTCCTTCCGTGCTCACAAGGAACTACACTGAAATGTAGTTTCGGTTTTCGGCTTAGGTATATATATTTTCTGAGTAAAGAAGAGATTCACAAAGACATTTACCAAAGACTTACCAAGTCATTCTCTACTAGAAAGGAGGAAAGATCAACCAAAACCCACGTTGGGATCATGAAGAACACAGCGTGGCAGCCGAGTATGTTCAGCAGCCGAAGATGATGTATTCGGGAATCTCTCAAAACCTGATGGAAAACATCATAAACATCTTTTCTTCAATCACAGCCCATATTGCCAGAGACCCAGGAACCACGTAACGTATGCCTGTATCCAGACGTACATTTTAACTTTGTCTTTTCATTCCTAAGGGCACAGGTAGCGCCCTGTGTTGACATTGACTCATGCACTACAAAGAAACAATCTCATACAGCAAGAAACGTAGAAGCTTTGAAATGAACTCTTAAGCACTAGCTGATTGTCAGCAGAAGCAGAAGAAAATCCATGTCAAGGAGTAAAGAAAAAGCTCAGGATAAAATCTTGACTCGTTTTCAGTATAACACTACCATGCATAGGAAGAGCTGTAGAAAAGATGCAAATAAAGCAACCAAACTTTGACTCTAAAGCATCTCCATTAAAAAATATATATCTGTACTGGAAAATGCATATTAGCTCCCTAAAGAATGGTATTCCTGACCAACAATAAGAACAGAACAATTACCTTCTTTGAGAAGATGTTCTGAAGTGAAAAACACAGCGTGGCAGCAAGCGCGCTGATGAGCCCCCACATGTCAAAAGAGAGTTCAGTGACTGTGGCCAGCAGGACACCGCTTATGATGGGGATCAGAGACAGGTACACCTGAAAGGGGAGCACGGGGAAGGGCTGACACCTCCTACACGTTGTCACTCCAACCGAGCCCACACGCACGCTTGATCTGGGGCAACGGAGAGGGAAGGACAGAGCAACAGACCCACGATCAACTCTGACACTGCTATAGCTTGAGGAAACTAAGCGACTAGGGCAAGGACCAGGGCAACCCGAATGTACACCTAGGTGAGCATCACCTCGCTCACTGCCCATAGCCGGGTTTTCTTTACATTCACAGGAACGAGGAAAGGAATGTGTGAAATCGACCTTATCCTGTACTCGATGCCACAAAACCCACGTGGTGCCTGAGCCCAGAGCTTCCCTCCCGCCGGCCAGCAAAGCGCAACGGAGACCCCGGCAAGAGAAGAAACCAGCAGCAAACCTGTCCGCACCTTCGTCGTCTGCTTCTCCTTCATGATGATCCTCGACAGCAGAACCACCCATATGGGCATCGTTGCCTTCACTGAGGGCGGGAAGGCGGTTTCAGGAGGGATGCGGGGGCTGCGCGGGGCGCTCAGGGCAGGGGGGATCAGGAACCACCCCAGTCCCTGCTGGACCCCCCGCCCAGGGAAAGTGGGGACAGGGCAGTGCCCC